TAAAAACCTTAAAAATTTTAAGAGAATATTTAAAATATAATGTTCATTTTTTAACCAATAATTGTTCGTTATTTTCCGACCAATCACGATTTTATCACGTGCTTTAGACGACCCCTTCTTATGGCAAAACTCGAAAGCATTAGCAATAACATCAAAACCAAAGTTATAACCTTAAATAGTCAATATTTGTGTATTTTAATAGTAAGTGAACAAATTTATATATTTGAAATTAGAAAGTGAATAAGACTTATACAATAATGATGTATGATTGTTTTATACAAATAAGCTCGATTCTTTATATAAATAATATTGTTATTGAACGGGGCTATATCGGTTGAATACCGATATTTTAACACCCCGTTCAATAACTATAAAGGAGGCTACTTAGTTTTATAAATCTATAATTGGGTTTATTGAATTTAACAATATAGAATTAATAATAACGTTAATATAGAAAGCCAATAAATTTAAGAGAGGTAATTTATTTAATTGATTATCTATACGTAATACGAATTATGATGTGATTTAATAAAGCCCAGCTTAATGGTTGAAATGACCAAAATTGGCAGATCGAAAAAAGATATCTTTATCCGATCTGGATAAAACTAAATGAAACATTCAATTTCCAATTTTCCGATTAGTTTATTGAAAAATCCTCGTCGAGACGATTTCAACAAGCTGAATTTCATCAATTTCTGATCACTGATTACCCCAAGTAACTTCTCGTCATTTCGAGGGTCAAAAATCGTATCCCTAAAACCTTAAATGTATAATAATTCAACTTTAATCAAGAAAAAAAAATTTTTTTTTCCATTAAGCAACAATATCAATCCATCCTGATTGGTTATCATGGATAATTATTAGATGGATTAATTTTTTTTTTTTTTTTTTCGTTCGTTTCTTATTTATTATCGTCATGGGCAAAAAAACAGAAAAAGTTACTACGGCGAAGGCTACGAAACTCTCAGATAAGAAAAATGAAAAAACCAAAAATATCAAGTTACCGTCAATAACAAAAAACGGAACTTCTAAGAAGATCTTAAAAGCTTCAAGCTCTGAGAGTGATTCTTCAGATTCAGATTCTAGTGGACCAAAAAAGGCTAACGTTTCTGATACTAGCGGTAGCGACATAGAGAATGACGGAAATAAGTTAAATGTAAAAAATAAAATCAAAAAGACAAGCAAAAATTCTATTGAAGAAGATAGCAATGATAGTTCCGCTAGTGAAAGTTCTAGTGATGATTCAAGTGATAGTTCTGAGGAAGAAGCGGAAATTAAACCTAAGAATAAGAAGTTAAATGTGAAGGAAGAAGAAGTTTCTAGTAGTGAAGAAGAATCTAGTTCTGAAGGTAAAATAAAATCAAAAGATGAATCTTCATCTTCAGAAAGTGATTCGAGTGAAAGTGAAGAAGAAGTAGTAAGTAGTAAAATAAACGGCACAAATAAAGTCGATGTAAGTAAAACACATGCACCCAGTGATTCCAGCTCATCAGAAGAGGAAGATGATTCGGAGGATTCAGATGATTCTGATGATTCTGATGATTCGGATGAAGCTCAAAATATCACAAATAAAGAACAAGAATCTTCGGACAGTAGTAGTTCAAGTGAATCCGAAAGCGATTCGGATGAAGATATAAAAATGGTCCCTAAAACTCCGGAGGTTAATAATTCTATATCAGGTCTCAATTCTTCAAAACGAAAAATAGACCAAGATGATTCTAATTTTGCAAAAAAACCTAAAGTATATGAGAATCCATCCGAAAGCAATACAATTTTTGTGGGACGTCTTTCATACAATGTAGATGCCGAATGGTTACGTCAAGAATTTAAAGAGGCTGGCGAAATTGTTGATGTTCGCATCGCTTCTGACAGAAATACCGGCAGATCTAAAGGGTAATTAAAAAGTTAAATTGTCATGTAATTTTAAATTCATGTTAAATGTTGATGTTATTTATTTAGGTTTGGCTACGTAGAGTTCGCTACTGCCGAAGGAGCTAGTAATGCAATGAAATTCTCGGGTAAAGAAATTGACGGTAGAGAAATTAATTTAGACTTTGCCACTCAACAACAATCCAAAAAGAATAATAACATTCAAAGAGGCACAAGTGAAGTTAGTGACACTCTCTTTGTAGGAAATTTGGCTTTTAGTATAACCGAAGACCAAATCTGGGAAACTTTCGGACAATATGGTCAGATTGTTTCAGTTAGACTTCCAACTCACGAAGACTCGGGCGGTCTCAAAGGGTGAGCGTTAGTGATGTCATTCTATTTTCATTATAAGTTTACTTATTTTTTTTTTTTTGTATTCAAATGTTGAAGTTTCGGATACGTACAATTCGCTGATACTGATTCGGCCCAAAAAGCAATGGAATTACATGGTACTAAAATATGTGAGCGAGCGATACGTCTCGATTTTTCTATTGGAAAATCTCAAGGGGACAATAATTCAAGTAAGAATTTTTTTGTTTTGTTTTTTTCTTGTTTAATTTATTATGTAATTATCTAATTGACTTTTGGGTCATATAGGATTTGGAAATCGTAATGGCGTATCCTTTGGTCGTGGAGGGCGTGGAGGACGTGGAGGACGTGGCGGTGGAGGACGTGGTGGCAGAGGTCGTGGTGGTAATGATTATGGAAGAGGAGGTCGTGGTGGATTTAATCCCGCAGCAGCAGCAAATCGTGGAGCTATACAACCTGCAAAAGGTAAAAAAATTACCTTTGAAGATTAAAATGTAAGTTTGTCACTTAATGGAGTTAATATTTATAATTTCATGAACTTAAGACTTTAATTATAGTTTATTCAATTTAATGCTTGAATTGATTAAACTTTTTGACAATTAGACACGTCATACTTAAAATTTTGTTTTCTTTTACAATAAAAATTATTTCATAATTTTAAACGCAAATATTATCAATGATTTTTTATAGTTTCACTTTCAAAACTACGTCAAACAATTTCTTTTTTTTTTTTTTTAAAAAAAAAAAAGGAAAAGAAAAGAATAAGGCTCACTTGGGAGTATAAAAAAAAAAAATTATTCATTTAACATTTCACCAAAATTTATAATTAGATAATGACAAATAAGTATAAGTAAAAAATAAACATTTCAATAAATTTCCTATACAAACGATCTTAATGATTTAAATGAAAATTTCCTGAGGATACTAAGCATAGTCACATATACTAAAATAAAATCATGATTTTAAATAGTCGAAGGATCTAATTTTGATTCTGTAAAATCCCACAGTATTTTCAATAATTCTTCGCCGAGAGTATACAAATCTATGTGAAATTCTCCTAAAGAGAAAGTTTGATTATATTAGAGAATGTTGATCATTTTAATAATAACGGAGAGACTTACCCTCAATATCTTCATTAATGTACATTTCTTCTGAACGATTATCATTGACAATTTGTATCACTTCAAGTATATCATCCTCATCCAACGCGTAAAGATTCCTTGCTAATTTTTGATAATCTACTTTATGATTCTCTTTATCATTCGTGGATTCGTTGGCAGAACACGGTGAACGCGAAGAATTACCGGATTCATAATCTGGTGATCCAGACGTATCAGTCTTTTGCCGTTTACTAGTTGCGTTAAGTGATGGTTTGGATTTTTTTTTGCTAGATTTAGGTGAATTCGTATCACCTGACTTTTCGTGAAAAAGCAACAACTGAAATGTTGGTTTCGGATCATTAAAGGTCTGCAAAAAAAAAAAAATTTTTAAATGTAAAAGTTAATATAGATCGTGTATATAATTTTCTTTGTAGTACAAATAAAAGTTTATAACCCTTACTAGTCTATGAGAAACTTCATAATGAGATTTGTTGAAATTTAGATCATGATATAAAGTAACTTGCGGAACACTTTTATCTGTGTAATGTAATATAATCTTCATATCAAATTCGCCCCAACCTTTTTCAGAGAGAGTAAATGGAGGTTTCCGCACCACTATAATAAATGGTGACAAATGTAATTTTCATTAGCTAATTGTACTTTAAAATAATAAAATGAATAAATGAATAAATAATGATCCATCTCAAAAAAAAAAACATGAGAACGTGAGAAAATATCATGGACTATCTAATTGTCACCAATAAAATCTAATTGAAATTTTGTGATAGTGATAATGCATACTAAGCAATTGTAAATGATTAATAGTTTATAAATCTTCAAAACATCAATCACTACAAAGTTATAATAAATTTAATTGAATATCATTTAATGAAATAATTAATTCATTTTCAAGAATTTTTTTCTTCATTACCTCTTTGTGGGTGTTCAAATGTTGGATGTAAAATATATTCAACTTTTTCAACGTAATTCAAAGGTCTATGTTCTCCCATGTCGTCAACTGCATAGATCGAAACCTTCCACTTGCGCGTTGGAAGGTTATTAGTTAGTTTCAAATGCTTTGAAATTTCCTAATTTTACGAGTACCATAATTTTAGTTAACGAGTATGGTTTCACAACACTTTACGAATCAAAAAACTTTTTTATAAAAAAAAAACCTGGTCGGTTACGACTACGTTTTTTTTTTCAACTATTGACTATAAAAAAAAAAAACCGACTTTTTAGTAAAACTAAAAAACCAGTAGAATTTCAATTTTTGTTTTTTTTTTTATATTATTCTTTTTA